AAAGTATTTGTTTTGATTGGCAATACCCAATTATGTGATTTTTGCGTCTAGAAAGGAATTAGTTTTGGCTTTTGGGAGAAAGATGCCGTTAGTACACCCAAAAAAAAAAACAGTATTATTACATAATGTTTTTTTAAAAAAAAAAGGGGGGGGGAAACATAAATATAAATTCACCTATATGTTCCGTTGAAATCATATTGATTATTGGGATATTTGAATAAAGATTAGATTAGATATTCTAATAAGATTTTGGATAAATAAATAATTAACATATATCCCTTGAATGATCTTCAAGTTAATTGATCAAATTTACGTTTAACTTACATTTAATTAATTTATTTAATAACCAATAATGATTAGGATATTAAGGAGAGGTAGATTGAGTGAGCTTAGGGCATGAACATGAACACTTTTGCTTCCACTTCTTGAAGTGTTAGTTTCCTTACTAATGATACCCACGTTCATTAATATAAAATTTACTTAACTAATTTGATTATATTAAAAAAATACTTAAATTATATATTTGCCATAAATATGTATTAGTTTTTCTAAAACATCCTCCTAAATCATTTGGATTAAAACTAATCTTTGATGCACACTCCATTAACATATATAATTAATAAGGTTAGTTTGTATAAATAAATAAAACAAAATAGATTGAAATATTATATTTAAGACCAAATTTAACTCCTTATTAACTCTTATATTAGGATCGAAGGCGGATCAATTAGAAGAATATGCCATATATATGTGTTCATCTAATTACTCTCACATGACTATTAATCTTGTTCTTTCAGATCTCTAATTAGTTCGATCGAGATATTTAGAGGACTACTACTTCAAATTCTTTAACATGGTAAAAAGTATTTTATAAGTCTTCCGCTCTTATTCTCTATGGGAATTATTCTGCATCCTTGTCTGCTTTATAATTAGAATTGTCCTACATGTTAATTAAAAAAATCAACCAAGAAAAAAATTACCAAACAGAATTGGTGCCATAAATTTTGCGTGTGTGAAGACCGCAAACCAAACCTGAGTTTAATGATATAGCAACTAGAATGCTGATTAAGGACACCATACAGCGTCTAATTAGAGGCTATATTAAATTCTTCTTGACACTCCCTATACATAAATGCTATTTTTGGTCGTTAATATAAGAGTTAGTTTGACTTTTAATTTAATCTTAAATATAAAACCACAATCCACTTTGACTCATATTTATCCATTTTTTAAAATAATTCTTGTGATAGTTGTACGTATTAAAAGTTCCATCAAATAGTAATTTTTGTTAATACATATGATTCGTAAGAATATTCTAGGAAAGACAAAACCTATAACTAAATTAGCTAATTTTTTTATTTTTTTCAAAATAGTCAACTATGTCTTATATTACAGATCGGAGGTAGTATTAAACTATTTAGTTAATTACTACTCTTATTTTTTTTTTAAAAAAACAACAAATTCAATAATAATGCCGTGTTTTGCTTAGCACTTTGAATGAAAATCTTATTGAATTAAAATGCCAGATGAAGTTCATTAGTGCAACTAGCAAGCTATAGTATACCAATATATATATATATATATGGTCTCACTCTAGAAACCAATAATGCAAAACGAAAAGCATGATACTATCACTGCTATAAGAGAGCTAAATAAGAAATTTACTTAATCTTAAATATAATTTCTCAGTTCATAATTGTTTCCTAAATATCCTTATTGCATATAATAAGAACTTTCATATGGTTGCTATAATGTACATGATTATATAGAGAATTATAAGAAAAATAAGGGGATTTTTACCAAAATGCTATGAACAGTGAAATAAAATACCAAAATGCTACAGCACGGAAAGATATTACCGAAATGCTACACTTTAAATTCATCACCAGGAGATGAATTTATAAATTTCATCTTGCCCAGAACGAGTTCTTCAATAAAGTGGGAAAATTTGCAAATTCATCTGGTAGAGATGAATTTGTAAAGTTCATTTTTGAGTGACGAACTTCAGAAAAAGTACTTTTGTCCTTTTCTCCCCATTTCCATGCGTATGAGCATCCTCTCCCCATATGAATCTCTCATAACCACTTTTGTCTAAGTTAAAAAAGCAACTGAACTCTTTGCATGCATCTGAAGCTGGGAAGAATATTAAGTCATCTCATCTCCCTTGCCCGTGAAGCTACAGTAGCATCGTGGCTTGCTATATATTTTGCATCTCCTCTTATGCCCATAAATGCGTCTGAATCGTCCGAGCTTTACTTATACATTTTGCATCTCCTCTTATGCCAGTAGCCCATGAATGCATCTGAGTCCTCCGCATGTTGAGCTTGTGTTCCCACTTCATGTATTCAGACTTCTCTCTTCTCTCTCATCATCTTACTCTCCCGTTTTATTAGTTGCTCCAGCCTCCTCCATTCTTTTGCTGTCTTGTTTCTCTACTCTTACTTCCAAACATTCGACACATACTTTTACTACTGCTGAGGGTATGTTACTTCTCTTATGTATTTTTTATTTTGTCATTATAATATTTAATTTGATTTTCTTCTTTATTTTTTATTTGATAAACTATTATTTTAAATCTCCAGGTGCTAAGTGGTGGGTTGAACAATTTCAAAAATCTATACTCTTAGGTGCCTCTTATTTTGCCGGTAAGAATTCTCCATTGTATAGTTTTAAGATCTCAAGATTTTGTTTTGATCTCTATTACCCATTTAGTCCTATTTATAAGGCACTTTTAGTATATTTCACACAGATTAAAAAACCATTAAAATAATTTCACATCCACTATCTCATAATTTGATTATAAAAGTAACACTAATCAAGCACAAAAATATATATTTTCATCAAGTATTTTTTTTCCAAAAGTCAGATCTGTTATGCATGAAAAGAACTAATGGCATAGGAAAAAAAAGAGAGTAGAAGAGGTGAATAACAAAAGGAATGAGTAGGGGAGAGTGGAAAAGATGAATAGAGAGAGAGAGAGAGAAGAAGTGGAACATGCGAGAATAATAGCATAAAAGAAGACAAAATTGAAGGACATTTAGCACTGAATAAAGGAGTGAAGAAAATGTACCAACTGTGCAAATAACTTGATAAGGATAATTATGTGTGTTTGTATTAAAAATTATATCAAGTGCCTTATATATAGGATTAAAATTTACACTCTCTCTGTCTTATAAATAAAACTAGAGGAGTATCTTTTAAGTATATGATTTTTTTAAATGAATATATAAGAAAAAAATTCATAGCTTTAACTTTTTTCCCCATATTATTCCTTATTTGCTATCAATTTTCATAATTTTTTTGTTTTACTCAATCTTGATAGGTGTGTATTAAAGTAACTAACAATTAAAAAATTATTAAAATAAATGAAAAATTTTAGATATAAAAATAAATCTGAATAATTTTATTCATTTAATTATTTATTGTTTTAAAAAACCGAGGTTAAGAAAAATAATTATAAAAATTTAAATTGTATTTAATGAAATCAAGTAAAATATGTTTATTTACATTTAAACATATTTATAAAATATATATGGGGTAAAACAATTTATAAAATTAAAAGTAATGAAAGAGATGTTTGAAAAAAAGAGAAAATTTCAATTGGAATAGAATAAAGACAGATAAAATTTAACTATTCGCTAAGGGTGTTCATGTAGATGAATAATTTCATTTCATTGTGTTTAAATATGTAAGATATTTTAGCTTAATAATAAATGATTTTGATTTGATTCCAATAAATTTTGTTATAAATATTGATAAGAAAAAGATTATAAATTTTTTTAGTACAAATTAAGGAGATTATAAAAAAGATCTATTCAATGGAAGCATGATAAGAAAAAATGTAGGGATTTAGTTAAGCGTATTTTAATATTTTAGTATTTGGTCCTTATAAATAATTATAATTTTTAAGATCCTTCTCAATAAATATTATTTTTCTAGGTCCTTCCCCCTAATTTTTTCTTAAAATAATATAATTTTTACCTATTTAGTAAATATTTTGGATAAAATAATGAGAATAAAATATAATATAAAAGTAAATTTTTATTAATAAGAAAACAGGTGGCAATATTTTGTTAAACTTTTTTCATTAATAAAAATGAATATCATAAAAAATTTAATTTTTAAGAATCTATAGTATACATAGATTTGATATTACTTTTAAAACTATTATAAATTTAATTAAAAGGTACGGAATGAATCAAAATAGAATTATAATACATATATATATATGAATAATTTTTTTAGCACTAGACTTAAACCTATGCGAACTATGCATGAGAAACCATGATTTGTGAGTCTTTTATTTTCAAAGTTTTGTCTTCTCCCAGTTGTACTTAATTAATGATTATAATGTAATATTTAGGAAATAGAATGGATCATAGAAAGGAGTTCGTATGTATATTTGCAAATGGACGAATTTATAATGGCCAAGCCGGTACAACATTTGAGTCCAACAGCATGAAAATAATCAAAGTTGATGAAAATATTACATTGGACAAATTGAAGCAAGTTATTGGACAAAAGTTACGACTTCCTCCCAATCAAATGGTGACAAATCTAGTATATAGATATCCTACATGCATAAATCCACCACAATACCAAGCATGCAATTTGGAGGATGATGCAGATATAAAAGAAATGTGGCAAGTCAGAAGAAGATTTTCAACTCAATTGACATGTGCAGAATTGTATGCCAACATATGTAATTTTTCAGATTATGGTCATGTAGAATCACAACCAATGGATGATTGTGTAGGAAATACACTCCCGTTAAGTAGCAATGAGGTGAACATTATGGAACAAGGGTCCATGTTCAGCAATGACATGGAAAATTTTCAACCATTTGAACCTCCCATAGATGGTGGCAACAATGGACCATCATGCTCTTTTCCTCAAATAGAAGACATTGTGGATGAATTTGAGGATGAAGATGAATATGATTCATATTTAGATGCCAGTAGTGGGAGTGATAATGATGACAACATAATGAATATGATGATATGAACGAGCAGAATGAGCTTGCAACTGCTTTCTTATCACAAATTCACGTCGAGTCAGCTAGAGCTCCTGAGTTTAGTGAATTAGATAATATTCTAAATGTTGGGGATAATGAAGAATTATATATTGGAAAAATGTTTAGCAATATCTGTGTTCTAAGACGTGCAGTGAAGTTATACTCTATTGGAGTTCATCATACATTTAGGGTTCACTATTCATGTAAAAAATATGAAGAATATCGTTGTATTAATTATGGACAAAATTGCAATTGGAGAGTAAGGGCTTGCAAGAAAGAAAGCAGAGACTTTTGGGAGATCACAAAATATGGGGGCCCTCATACATGCTTGAGTACATCATTAACTCTAGACCATCCAAAATTAGATGCTGATGTTATATCATCTTGTATTGTGGCAATGGTAACTGACAAGCTAGATGTGAAAGTGTCACAAATTATTGAAATAATCCAATCCATATTTGGTTACACTGTATCATATAGAAAAGCATGGAAAGCAAAACAGTTAGCAGTTGCGATTGCTTTTGGGAATTGGGAGATCTCATATTCCTTACTCCCAAGGTGGTTAGCTGCAGTTCAATACTTCATGCTTGAATCATGCATATATTTTTCAAATAAACAATTCCCTGAAGTTAGTACAAATGATCAACCAGTTGAAATGTTTCATCGTGTTTTTTGGGCATTCAAGCCATGCATAGATGCATTTTCTCACCTCAAGCCTATTGTACAAGTTGATGGAACATTCTTATATGGAAAATACAAGGGCACGTTACTTATGGCAGTATCACAAGATGGTGACCGAAATGTTGTACCACTTGCATTTGCTATAATTGAAGGGGAGACAAGATCTGCTTAGGCATGGTTTTTATATCTTGTGCGCCAATGTGTCATAAAAGAAAGAACGGGAATTTGTTTAATTTCAGATAGGCATCGTTCAATTTTAGCCGCTGTTGCTAATCCCCAAGTAGGATGGCAACCACCATATGCATATCATGTTTTTTGTTTACGGCACGTGGCTTCAAATCTTCACAAAGCACATAGAACAAATTGGTTGAAAGAGAGGTTTATAAATATTGGTGAGATTCCTTGTGCTTTTTATGATTTTATGACTACATGATTCTATAAACATTCTAATAAGCTAATATTTTTCTGTAGGGTATGCCTACGAATGTCATGTTGTTGATCAACAATTAGCAGAGATAGCATTGTACCATGCACCTGCAGCAAGATGGATTAGAGCCATCCCAAAAGAGAAATGGTCGTGTGCATATGACCTTGAAGCCCGTCGCTTTGGACACATGACAACTAACCTTGCAAAGTGCATGAATAGTTTATTTAAAGGTGTTCGAAGCTTGCTGATAACTAGTTTAATTAAGGCAACTATGTATAGAGTCAACAACTATTTTGTCAAACGTGCCCAACAAATTCATGCACAAATTGCAGTTGGTAAAGTATTCTCTGAGACAATGACGAAGAAGTTAGACATAGCAACACAAAATGCTTCTGCGTATGTTGTTCGAGAATTTGACAGAATATCAACATCATTTGAGGTTGTGGAGCCCTACAATGTTCAATGTCGTCAATTTCGTCGATATTGCAAGGTTAGCTTGATTGAAAAAAAATGCGATTGTAGAGAGTTTCAAGCAGAAAAGTATCCATGCATGCATAACATTGCTACATGTGCACGAGTAGGCATAGACCATTTGCAATACGTGGATCCTGTTTTCATATTAGACACCATGCAAATAGCTTATAATAATAAGTTCCAACCAATGGGTGTCTTACTCTAATACCAAACCCATCAATGATTCGAGAAAAAGGACATCCTCGTTCAAGTCGCATATGTAATGAAATGGATTAGATCACTCCCAACCAACCTAACAAGTGTGCATTGTGCCGATAAGTTGGTCATAACCATTCTACGTGTCCACAAAGTGTAGCATCCAAATAATAAATTATGTAGTTCACTTGTTATAATAAATTATTATGTTTTGTGAAGATTAAACTATAATTACTTTGATTATCTGTTATGTTATTTGTAAATTTTTCTTTAATTTATACAGAGACGTTTTAAAATGGCACAATCTCCAGAAGAGATTATCACCCTTGGCCCAAAGGATAACTCTCTTTTATAAATGCAACCTCAACATATTTCAGAACGTGTGTGGAATGATAATGTAAGTAAAATCTATTTACTATAGATTATAAATTCTATGCTTCGATACTAACCTTTTTCCTTTTCTTTCTATGATAGGTTAATAGAATCCTACATACTAGACGAGTGATGCACACTAATAGAATGATTGACCCACCCAATCAAATTATTGAATATTAACCGGATTTTATGGTACTACTAGAGTAGGACAATTTGAATACGATGGAGGCTTGGTCTCAACACTTGTTGAGAGGTGGCGTCCTGAAACTCATACATTTCACATTACACGTGGAGAGTGTACCATAACATTAGAGGATGTAGCTATACAATTAGGCCTTCCAACTGAGGATGGGATTGAAGGATGCTTATCACTGCTGCATTTATGGGCATGGGATCACTTCCCTATGCTAGCACCATAATGACCTGTGTATCCAGATCCGCACTCTAATATGTATCCTTTCTTACCTCCATTGGGTTTTAAGTATGTAAAATTCACTTAACAACTATTTGATATGCACTTATATTATTTAAATTATATGATTTTTAACATTACTTTTTGTAATAACTGGTGGAAGAATGTGAGACAGAATGGTTGACGACGAGATAATTTGGTAGCCATATGAATCTACTGAAATGCGCCAATTAATTCCAGAGTATTGTTTGACTACACCTGAAATTTGGCGTGCCTCAGTTCCTCTGATATGTTTTAATATTATTGAATGGCATCACCCTGATCGTGTATTAAGGCAATTCGATCGTCAGCAACCAATTCCTGCCATGCCTATTCATTTGCGAAACTACCACACAATGCAACTACGAGGCAAAACTACAAATTGGATTGACAAATACTCAGACTTTATTCAAGCATGGGATGGATGGCCACATGCAGTTATTAATGCTCCTATGACACTTGATGAACTTGATCGAACATCTCAATATATGCAATAGTATTGGAGACATACGAGGCGATGGATCCAACGTATTAGTGGTGATACAAGTTGCGCGGTATGTTTTTCTTCTTTTTTCACCAATACCATTTTTTCCTCATACTAAAAGTCTTATAACTCGATATCTTATTATTTATTTCAGTCTGACAGCGGATGAGTTATATAGGCTATCCATAAATTCTAGTTTAACATGCCCTAATTGCATTGATTATCGAGATAGGGTTGCTCAAGACCAACGCAACATTTTGCTTGCTCTTAGAGAACAACGTTTTAATATGAATCCCCAACCTGCTCTACCAACAATTGAGTTGTCTCGCCACAAATTCCTCGAGATAGACTAAGCAAGCGACGTGGGGGTTACTTGTCAACACAACCTATAATTGAAGATGAAAACATCAGGGAACAAGAGCCTCTAATTTTTAGTCAAGCTGATCACATGTCAGCCTCACCATCATCCCCTTTTATCTCTCTCATTCATATACAATTTGAGCCTCATTACATGACACCCTCATCACCGTCCCCTTCTGACCCAGCCAATCTTTCTCAATTTCAATCGTTCATGACCTTATTAGATAATCCATCAGTATTTTCTGCTGAATATAATGCTTCTACTTTTAAGCATGGTAGACCATCAAATGAAGCATTTATCACCCCTTGACAGTCCATACATTTGAATGAGTCACCTTGATTTGATTTGAACATGCCAACTACACAAACAAATGAGACACTTCAATCTCAAGAAGCCAACATGCAGCAACAACAACAGCCACAACGTATGCGAAGGAGAATAAGGTGTGGTACCGGAAGTCACCTTTTGTAAGGTAGATTATTATTATTTTTCATTCATGTAAACTTAACTATTATTTGTTATTAATTATTTTTTACAAAATCTATTCATTACTTTTTTATTTTAAATTGATACATCTTATTAGTTCATCCTAATTTCATAATCATTATTAGTATTACTAATATTATATAATATCCTCTAATTAATAATTATGATTTTTCATTCCAATAATTGTTTACTCATTATAGTGAAATTTGAAATTGTTCCTTAAAAGATGAATTTTTGATATTGATTTCTAGAAGATGAACTTCCACTGCAAGTATGATGAAAGATATCGAACAAATTATTCTTTTTGTGGATGAATTTTGGAAAACTTTCACTTGAAGATGAATTTCGAATATAACATTTTAGTAAATCTTTTTAAAGTATAGCGTTTTGATAAATTTTTTTTACTGTTTATAGGTCAACAATAAAAAAGCTTACATTCTTGGGAAGGATGATTGAGACGTATGGGTAAGGCAGAAAATATTTTTTTTTAAAATGTGTTATCAGTCTTGGGAAGAATGTATCATTTTGAAAATTTCTTTTTAGTTTTAAAAAAATATTCAGATATTCGTACGGAATGAAGGCAGAAGAGGACAAAAGTGGCCTAGGGGCTCTAAAATTCACCTCTACCAGATGAACTTCTAAAAGTCATCTCCACCAAATGAATTTGTAAATGTCTCAGTTTATTGAAGAAGTCGATTAGGGCAAGATGAAGTTTATAAATTCATCTCCTGGTGATGAATTTCAAGTGTAGCATTTCGGTAATATCTTCCCACGCTGTAGCATTTTGGTATTTTATTTCACTGTTCATAGCATTTTGGTAAAAATCCCGAAAACTAAGATATATTTGTTACAAATAAATAACTTTATTAATTTTTTTAATCAACTCAAATTAGTTAAGTAGCTACTCCATCCAGTTCAAAATATAAGATAAACTTTATCTATTTATGTTTATCAAAAAATTAGTTAGAATCAGTTTAAAACAATAAAGATCTAAAACATGTACTTTTTTCCCCCAAATATACCCTTATTAATAAAAAGAATATGTAAAAGATATAATAAATAAATTAAAGAGGAAAAAGAATATATTGGTGTAAAATTGGAAAAAAAAACTCATTAAATACTTAGACAAAAATGAATGTTATCTTATAAAAAAAAAAAAAAAAGCCCTTTCAACAAAGTTTAGCTTATATTTTAAACCGAAGAGAGTATTATATTAAAGACCACACGTAATATTAGTTACCTCGTGAATCCTAAGATGAGAAGTATCATCATCATCAAAAAGTGGAACTGATTTGAGTACCCATTTTTATGATGATCACCCAAAACTTATCCTATTTGAACTGTCCAAACCATTTATGGACCATTTAGATTTAATTTTTTTATTTTTAAAATAATTATTTTAATAAGTATAGAATCTAAAATAAAAATAATCTCTTAGCTATCACTTTATTCAAGAAAATAATTTTATTTGGCTGAAAATAGTTAATTAAAAATTATAACATCTGGATTGTTGATATCAAACATGAATAGTTAAGATAAAATGAGCTTTGAATTCTCATCCTCCTAGAGGTGAAATCAGCACGCGAACCGGTTGATCAAAAAGTTAGTAGTTAGAATAAAATATACTGAGCCGCTCAATTTTGAACAGAAATTGGAATTTGATATGATCCCCATATCAAATCCATTTAGAGTCATATGATTGGCATGTGTGCGCCCGTAAACAAACTGGCAGGTAGCTAGCGAAGCTAGCTAGATCCGAGTATGAGGGAAATGGTAAACACTTTTTCTGTGTCCAAAGCGCAGCGGAGGAAGACGGAAGATAAAGTAAACGGCGGTTGTCACGGGCAAGTTCTAATTCTGTCCCACAAAGCCTCGACACCATTATTCTTCTTCCTCCTCACCTCACGCTTTGCATAAAT